ATAAAATAAAAAATTTATATCTTTATGTTTGAAGCCTGAAATGTGGCAAAAGGTTGAAAAGTTCAAGGGGGCCGAATACTTTCGCAAGGCACTGTATAAGGAGGTCCTTGAGCACTCTGACCATACTGCAGTAGGAACACGATAAAGAGTCTTAAACATTGAAATACAATTAAAATACTCAAATTGATGAATAAATTGAGACAGAATTTCTCTATGTATCAGGTCTGCAACATGGAATACCTATGACTAAGGCCAAGACAGGATATCAAAAAGGAAGCAGTGGTATCCCGCATTAACAGCGTGGGAAAAAGCCATTAGACCAATAAACCAGCCACCAAGACCTTCCCCCAGAATGCCGTTTACCCTGTCAATGGCCCTGCTGCTCCTCCCTTAATATAAATACTGGGCCTACTAGACAGAGAGCAGGTTGGAGTTCTATATACTGTATCAATAGGACTGCAGGACAAGGGAGGGGGAAGGATTTTGTCATCGTCTTTTGTAGCCTGGAAGTGAAACAATTAACTGGTCTTTTGGTTATGTCACAATGTAGAACAGCTTGAGATATTTTTAGAACTTGTCTTGGAGCTCCACATCTGGTAACCTCAAGCCCGCTGGGGCACGCAAAGGTCTCGCTACCTCCGGGAACTTGGGATGTGTTTTATTGAGTGCATGGGAGGAGGCGTTGACTGCGTGGGCCAGCTCCTGCTCCAGCAGACTGTGGGTTTTCGCTGCTTCACAGATTCTGAAATACACACAAAATGGGGCGTTGTGAGGTCCTTGTGAGAGCCAGCCAAGTCAGGCCTCTCTCTCGTAGTTGACTGCATTTTCTGAAGCCCTGGAGGAAGTCACAGATTCATAATTCACAGCTGATCGAACCTTTAATCACCGAGCCCTCCTGTATTAAAACTAGCTGTCAAAGCACCGTGGAAATGTCCAATGGTCCACAAAATACAAGTAACAGCCTCTTTCATGGAAAACTGAGAAACAGCATAAAGACAAAGGCAATATTTGTCTCTGCACAATTCTTCCTTGCTCACAGTGTTACATTAAGATGATTTTACTATATGTAGTGCTCAATTGTAACACTATTTGTATTTATTAGAAAAATGAAATATATTCCATTTTTATTTTTATTTAATAGTATTTTATGTGTCGTCGCGGCATAACTCGGGCACAGTATTCTGCAAAATTTGCACTGACTGATTGCACACGTGTGAAAGACCCGTTTACAGTGCTGTGTGCACACTTCTCAGGTTACCTAGTGATGAGCTCCTCGGCGGCCCGCGCACACATCTGAATAAGGGTCACCTCCTCCTCTGTGGCCAAGTCCACTGACTGCTGAGGGTAGAGGTGGGGCCGCAGTGCTGGCTTGTCGTACTTCAGCTTGTCCTCCCAGGACTTCAGTGTGTTCTCAAAGGCCTGCACACATGCCAGTGCAGGAGTCAATAAAAACTGACCACGCACTTATGTAGACACCTCCACACATAGCTACAGTATGAGTCTAAAGCCATCAACAGGAAATCTAAACCTAGTTGGACCCCAAAGCCATTTACAGAATATTGCATTAAAGCAAATGTCCCCAGCTCTGCTTCTGGGGAACTACAGACATGCTGGTTTTCATTGCAGCAGAGCCCTTTGCTTAGAAACAAATTCTTAATTAACCAAAAGGTTGCTCAGTTAGAAGGTTTTCTCAAAGGTTGGAGATCTTAGAGTTATGAGAACAATAGTTAAAAGACACACTCCTGCATGCTTAGGAACTGAAAAACGATGAAAAAGCTCGATCTCTTAAGGGCTCGATTATTTAATTGAATGCTCAGGTGTGTGGTTCCCCAGGACCAGGAACCCGAGTTTCGGTGCTTAAAGGAACCAGTCCCACCCTGTCGCGTGTCAGCATCTGGGCCCGGTTCTTATGAAGGATTTTAATGACTCCTGGAGGCTGAATCCAGGCTTCTCCATCCACTTGTATAGGAACCCCTTCGTCTCCCAATATTGTGATCTTTACTGATCGGCACTGAAAAAAGAAAACAAACGTGACAGGTCTGACAGTTCCAAGAAAAAGCATGCAAATAATTTCTGTGGATGAGGTTTTGATACCAGAGGGTAGAGGTCTACAACTCTAGTCATGTAAACCACAATCCTGCACTCTTTATAAGCAATCTCAATTACCTTAATCCCTGTTAATTATTGAAGCGGAAAATACATTAACTTGTACTAATTAATCAAGGATGATGCACCGGTCTCATGTTATTCTCCTAGTGCTCTTGTGCTCCAGTTTGCTTCCTCCTACTAAAGACATGGAGGTAAGGTTTGATTAAAGCTTCTTTATACTGTCCCTTACTGGGTCAGAGGGAGGTTTCTACTCTCAACAGTAGTGGTACAGTATAGTACATTGCATTATGGAACTACAGAAGCACCTAAAGAGCATGAAGTACCAAATGGCCACATTTTATCTGTAGAGATTCTGATGTTCTCAATGAGGTTCACTAAGATCAGGGCTGCATCAGTCCCAGTTAGGGACAAAAGACTATGGTTCTGTACCACCAAAACAGTGTCTGCAGAAAAGATAACAAAAATAACAAATCACTCACCTGTAAACCTCTAATGTTTAAAACAGTCAACATAAGACACAAATACATGCCAAGAATGTCAATTATAACATCATGAGTACGTGAAGCACCATATGCAGTCCTTTCTTTCTAGGGCAAAAGGCACCATATAAGAAGCTAGTTGCAAAGAAGACAACTCCAGAGACCAGTGTAGGCTCACCTGGGCTATCCGGTGGTGCTGAAGTTTGATGACCCTTGACACCGCCATCTGCATGCTCCCAAAAACTGCCACCACCTCTAAGATCTTGTCATCAAAAGACGGCGCACAAAAGATCTTAAAAAAAGATTGAGAAGCAACTTTAGCGTGCCACCACATATAGAACCACTGTCTGTCATGCTGAGGGTGAAGAACATTTAGTTCTTATCCTACAGCGTTGGGCATTGTCTTTGTTTTTCAGGTGGTGTTTTCAGTACTTGCTGAAAACCATTTCAGAGGTACTGCCATGAAAAATGCTATTCCACTAGGGTCCACTTGAGGGAGCTAAAACATCACTGCAACCACATACCGCCACAAATCCCCTCAAATTATTTTTCGCTTGGCAAAGCTAAGTTTACTTACAGCAAATGAAAATACACATAGTCATTAAAAAAGTGACTTTGCTTTAAACTGAAAATATATATATATTTTTTTAATTTATGGCCCTGTGGTAATGGAAAACGTGAAATACAAAAGGAAACAAGACTGACTGGAACCAGAACCGAACATTCATTATCTGAAAAGCTGAAAAGAAAAGCAACTAATTGGACCTGATGTGGTTTCAGAACATTGCAAAAATACATTTCACTCTTTTCTTACAGTTTATGCATGGCTTTAGTACACCCAGACAAGTGAACTATATACTGAAAATCGGAAAACCGACATAAAGGGTTTCAATTCAGTAATCTTATGTAACAACCTCCAATGTAAGTATACAGGGGTGTTCACCATTCTAACATGGCCATCAGGATCTTGAAGTGATCCCAAGTGCTAGTTCCCTGGAGATCTGGGATGCCCATATTCCTTAGCAATGCTAAAGTTATGTAACCACACCTCCAAGGACACAGATTATCCAAAAGTAACTTCTCATGATCATAATATTTTGGGAGCTTAATAAGTTGTAAGCTCCAATGATTCAAGCTTCTATGGCCCCACTGAGGCGTAAACAAACTACCCTTTTTGCAAGCCATACAAACATCTCCTTGTACTTGTTAATTGTACTGCTGGGTTCACCGTGGGTCGTTTTTCACGGTGAAGTCTGTCAACAGAGGACCTAAAAGCACAGCCATCATGCAACGGTTCTGAAAAATGCAGCTCAAAGGAACTCTGGAAAATGAGGGTAAGAGAGTATCTTATTAGGCCACTGTGTATGTGACTCTATGCACCGTCTGCTGAATGAAAGAACAGAAAGCTTTCTGTTTCCAAATGCTTACATCCCCTATCAATGAAAAATCCTGGTTTTACTTTGCTTTTCTAATCTAGTCAAAAATTGTTCAGGAGTAACTAGTTAGTACTAATGCAGGCAGAAAATATATATTGCGTTTGGATGGCAAAGCATCTGAAAACAAGGTCCCTGGTGTTTGATACGCATTTCCTTTGAAATTCAAAACTTACATCATCTTCTTTGGTTCCTCCCCAGAAGTTAGTCCCACCAGCATAACTGGGAATGTTCAACACAGCAATTCCTTGGAGGCTAGGGAGTGGGATATATTGTCCATCGCACTGTAATGAAGGCAAGGACAAAAACAGAAGATAAATTTAAACTTTGGCACTACTTTTTCATTTTTAAAGCTTCGGCTATGCTTTCCCAATCACCCACAAAAACGCTCAGCATAATTTAGCTGAGCTGCTCTTACACTTTGGTTTTTTTTTTAATCTGCTCATGTTTAATTTCTCTTAAAGTGTACCAAACAATGCTGTCAAGCTGCTGGTCTCAGTGGGGGAGGGGGAGGGGGTGAATCACAATCTGATTCACCGGTTATGTGTGCTGTTTAGGAGCCACTGCTGTGTTGAGGGAAAACAGCAAGCAGTACATTTCTCAACCTCAAGTCACCGAAAGAAAAACAGGGCAAAGTTTTGTGCTGCTTGTGGGTCTCTCAAAAGATCAGCAGATCTTAATGTTTGTTGAGAAGGCCCCCCTGAGAGCAATGTAACTTTGTAACTGGAAATTAAAAAGAAAAGAAGTCTGTCTGCCTGAGGCAAGTAATTCGCTCTCAAACCCAGGAAATCACGAATTAAAAAAAATGTCATTTCTCCTTTTACATCATGTTATTACATAGCTACAGATTTCTACACAAATAATACCACACTCATGCATGGGAGATGCGCAGAATATGAGGTGAAATGTGCCTAGACTTTTAAGATCCCAAACTTACAGTTATTGCTAAATCACTGCAGAGCTCTTGCCATAAGAATATTAAAATCTTTCCTGCATTCCTGATGGAAGCTAGACTATGCTCCTACCTCCAGCTGAACCTTCTGTTCGAGATTCTTGTACGTCCTCTGCAGTAACTCTTTTGTTCCAAGCACACCGTACCACATCATGTTTTTTGTGCGGCTCCTGAAAGCCAGAGAATTGTTAATATACATAAGATACATAATTCCCAAACTTAACAGTGCATTGCAATTTGAAAATTAATTGGCGATTAATCGGAGATTATAACAGGAAGTAAACGGATATGTTATTTCTGTTATCTGAGTTTTCACCTTATGAGCCGATTTCGAGGAACAAATTAAGATTGTATGATGAGGGATTACTGTTCTCTCTTCCCAGAAAATATGCCCTTCTATTTGTATGCTGTCCAATAGCCTTACACATTTATGGAATGAAAAGGAAATGCCTCAATAAATTTAAATTGTTTCCAAAACTATAAAGAATGAGTTTTAAAGAGCACAAATGTTATGGTGTATCAGCAGGTACACTGTTTTGTATTTGTCGTGCATGAACAAAACCACTTTAAAAAGAGCAGAAGAAACATCAACATCATCAAGTTAAAGGAGCCAGGAAAGGTCAAAAATGGGAGGCCACGTCATCTATCTCCTCTTTCAAATGGAAGAAACAAAAAACAAATGGCATCAAATGCATCAAATTCCCATACCTGCATTTTTCAGGATGTTCCTCTCGCTTATTGTTAAACTCCAGTGAGATTTTTGCGTCTAATCCAATTCCAAAATAGTTGTTCATGACACACTTCTCCAGGTATCCCTCTCTGTGTGGAGAAGACAGGAAGAGGCAGAATTTGACTTTAGGCCACTGCATGGCTAAAATGTTAAAAATAAAAATCATTATTGCTCATCCATATAACGAAAATGACTGTAGGAGTCCATCATTGTGTAAATCTAGCAAATCAAGTCCTTTCAGAAACTTGTACTGTTGATCTTTTCTGCTGACACAATGGCGACCAGTAGTGTTGCACTAATTTTTCACCACAATTCTTTAAGAGTGCCAAATACAGGTATGAAGTGATACGAGAGGAGAGAGTGAGATTTATCAGTGTCAGTGACACATCAATGCTGCAGTTAAGGCTCTGTCTAAACATGACATCACACTGGGCAATGGACAGAATGTGAAGTTCCTTACAGTGAATCGGGGTCGGGGTCAATGAAAGGTGTGGCTCCAAAGGGATCAATGTTGGCCAGTAACATCTTACTGATGATGGAGCTGCCAGCAATGGAGGCTGCCAAGCCAGCTCTTAAACCTGTGTGGGCAAAGGAAAACAACAAGCAGAGTGAATCTTTAAATGCAAAGTCACTAGACGGCGAGCGCCCCCCCTCAGCACCCACTGCTTTTGAGTCGTGAGATTTCCATCCTTGCAGACACTCAATAAAAAGCCACAGGAGCCTCAATGAATCAATCAATCTGGAAGCATTCCTACGGCTTCCAATGGGGTTTCACCATTCGTTCACTTTCCCCACTCCAGCTGATGATAACAGTGCGGGTGTGCGGTGTGTGACGGGCACCTGGACAGATGATCCTGGTATTGAGCACAGGCAGGTTCTCTTTGCTGGTGGTGAAGGGGGAGATGGAGAAGGAGCCGGTGCAGGACTGGGTACTACGGCTGATGCGCCTCTCAGGGGGGGAGCAGGGAGTGGTCTTGGCTGCTGAAGGAAAAAAAGAAGCCACGTTTGCAGAGTTTTGGGACTGTACGGGATTCTGGTGCAGAATACGGGCAATGCGTTCTTATAACAGAATGATTTACTTGGACCATGTGTGTCTAGTGGATGACTTTAGCTTTGCCTCTGCTTTTGCAGGTAAACCTTTTTGAACAATATGCATTTTAAACCTCCTTCTGTGTCTCTGCAAATGTCATTTTCTGGGTTGCAAACACCTTGAAATGAAGACATTTCTACATGGAAGAATGTTTTCCGTCCCTAAGCTGAGGTTCCAGATTTGACAAAATGTAAAACAAAAAACAAATCTAAAAATAGATGTCTGTTTTACTTTTCTGAATTTGAACAAAAACTACTGCAACAAAAACAGTTGTTAAAACAATCCATTCTATTCAAACAATAGATAAAAAATAACCAATATGCTTGCAATTCAGTACACAAGCTGAACAACAATTTCTGAAAGTTTGGCATCTCAGTTTCAGGAAAGAGGTAATCAATCCAAAGTAAAATAAATCAAATGCTGAATCTTCTGAGACAAGTCAGGACTGGGCACTTGCGGAAGCTGACTGTGGTCTTTTTTTATCTTTTTTTATTGTGCTCTTGAGTCGTCCAGCTTTACACTGTGTAATATCTTGACAACAAGTAAGCCATGCAAAGACAAAACCCCACAGAGCTGTGAGACAGAGCAATGACTGTGTTTTCCAACACCCTAGTGACCACCAGGTATGAAAAGATCCTTTCACTCTCAAGCTGCAACTTCAGGAAAAGAAAGAGGAAGAGCCACAGTAAACAACAACGACCTTTTACTTCATTTTACTGAAGTAACATTTGTTTTCTACATGAAACAGAAATGCGTCCTATGAAACAGGGCGCGCTTCCCCTGTCTTAAGAGTTTGTTCACCAAACATGCACATGGCTTCAGAGACGATTGAGCACGCTGCTCACTGGCACAAAAATTAGCACATTGGTAAAGTACCTGGTGATGGGAGTGAAACCAAAAGAAAGGTGTGTCTGCGTCTGACCTGTGATGTCTGAAGCTCACTATTGGGGTTCCTGCGTACATCTTCTTGAGCTTCCTACATGTCATTCTGCTCCCAGCATCTCACCTTCTGTTATATTACCAATTCTCTACAATTCTTTCCATGTCATTATTTGAAGAAGCCTGTTTTTCTTCTTCTTGGAACTATTCATTTGCCCTGTATTCTCTCAGTCTTATTTGCCACCAGACCCAAAGTCCAATAAACGAAAAAGACAGAATTTTTTCATTTAAAAATGATCCGAAAAATGTCTCGATAAAAGCTCACTTAAACAAGCGCAGTAATCATACAATGCCCCAACTTGGCTTAAATGGAATCTGAAAAAATACTTGCTGCAGTACAGACAAAGCCAAAATATGTGGTTTCATTAAAAATAAAAATGTATCCCACATATAACACAACTTGATGATGAAGTAAAATTAAACAACACAACATCTATGTGACACGATTGTGCTTAGACTTAGACTATTTATTAAAAATTACAAATGTTTTGCATTCCAAAATGGCTTGTACAATTGTGGATTTACAAAAAGTAACGAGTACAGAGGAGTTCTATTGAGTAAGTGGTGCATAGTAAAAATATGTACAATTCTGCTGCTCTGTATATTGTAAAGTTACTTCAGGGCTTCAGACATTTCAACAAATGTGAAGCCACCTTCTCCATCAAAGACTGAATCAGCTACCTGAAGACATTTTAGCAATTTATATCTGGTTTGTATTTCAAGATAAGCACATTTATTTATGACCAGACCATGCTTCTTCTTTTTGTATCTGAAGACTAGATAACCTACATTGCCATTACTTGACAGGCTGCACAAATTATTTGTCTGATTAATATTGGTAGGCTTTTGAGTAATGAACTCTATGCTGTAGTGACTCTTAAGAAGCCAATCACGGAGCACCAGACAGACTGCCCCAGACTTGACAGAAGATTCAAATTAAAAGAGGAAAGCAACATGTTGTACGTAGTGATTGTAGAATCATGATGATAATTGTTAAGGGTATTAAGAGATTAAGCAAGCAGATAGTAACTGGTTTGTCAAAAACAAAGGCATTAATGGTTTTAACCTAAGACAAGACTTGTACTTTTCTAAAATATATATATATACTGTATTATTAACTTACAGGCACAAAACAAGTTGCAGTAAGTACAGACAATTTGGCTTCATAGTTTGGTGAGGACTTGATTTTCACAAATCAAAAATACTACAGCTGACTTACATGATTGAGACTCCAGTTCCTTTGTGTCTTCATCCTTATCATCATCTTTGTTATCTTCCTCGTTCTCTTTCTTAAACTCTGTTGGAGACTGAACATCTTGTTCTTCAGTGTGAGCATTTTGCTCATCCACCACTGGATGAATGAAGAGAAGTTTGAAAAAATGTCACACAGAAATTCTATGAGAAATGTTCTACTGAGCATTACAGGAACCTATCCCTCTAATTATGTAAATTGTAGGAAAATAAAGCATACCAAAACTGGATATTAATTAAATACCCATAATCATCAGCATTAAGTCATTTCATCAGTCAGTGAGTTGACTGGGTGCAGGTAACAATGTGTGTCAATGTTAACTTGCTGTTAAATGTTAAAAAAAGAAAAACGCAGAAAGGAAACAATATGCCCACTTATCAAGAGAGCAACGCCTTTACGGCCCTGTAACTTTGACTAAGGAGCCCGGACTAAGTGAGCACACTATCACTTATCCATGGAATCAAGCCCTGTTTAGTGATGAATCTCGGTTTTAGTGAGTGTGTGGTAGAGATATGCAACATATGTCAGGCTTCTTGATGAGCAGGACTGTCATATTGAGAACTACAGAAATTAACTGGTAGTGATTGATGGCCATATGACTATACTGTGCTATACTGATCAGATCCTAAGACTCCACTTCCTGCTCTTCCTGGGGGGGCTCATCCTGACCTGATATTACAGCAGGACAATGCGCATCCTCACGCTACTCATGTAACAAAGGCTCGTTTGAGAAACAAGAATGAGAGTTGTACAGAGGATGCCCTACTAGCCACACTTGAGCCCCACTGAACTGTGGGATGAGCTGGGAGAACATGAACTGGCACATGGATGCCCAAGGTCTACAAAGAAAATGTGTCAGAATCCCAGAAGACAGCATATGCAGCCTAGTGTTATAGCATGCATTGTATTATAGCTTCCAATGGTGACTAACACACTACTTGTAAGTGTCTATCACAGGCAGACCATCTGCTGATCAAACCTTTTGACAACAAATGTAAACCAGCATAATAAATGTACCTCTTGTATCAGGTCTCTTCAACAAATATCAATGCCACTGGTACAAAAAAGATCAAGTGATTTTTCTTATATTGACTTTGGGAATTTGCTATAGTTGTGATCTGTCAAATAATGATGCCCAAAATATAATAACATCTGTTGTCCCAATATAACAGACGTCACTGGAAATGTGTAAGTCAATCTGTCAAAATCAGAGCCTCTTGTTTGTTTTTGCTTTTGTCCTGCTTTCACATTTTAGGTTTATGATGCCAAATTTATGAGTCCATCTGTTTATCAGTCAAAACCCCAAAGTGTCACAGGAGTGTGTAGGAAGGTTTGGGTTTTCTGGCTCCAAATACTACTCAGACATGTTAGTAATTATCAGCTTAATCAGCCTGACAACTGTGCTGGAGAAACACTCCACACTTGGCACAGACGAGGCTGTTTTTCTCCAGTCTACACAAGCCTAGCCTGCTGGTGAAAGACACACTGACGTCACTGATCGTTTTTGTCCTTACACTGGTTACAACACGATTTTTGAAAAACTGTTACAGTTGACTTATACATTCTGGGAAACACACAAACACTACGAAAAATTTCCATTTGACACGAACTGTACCATTGTGTTCTTATATTTCTGGTACCACTAACTGGGTGAGATTAGAAAGCTCTCTCCATCAGTTCCCAACAGAAGGGGGTAGAGGAAGCCCCGAAGAACGTGTGCTTTAACCCTCCCTGTTCTACATGATGAGGGAAGTGCTGTTTGGCACAGGTGTTCGCGTGGCTTTCCTCCAGGTGCTCTGCTTTCCTCCCTCAGTCCAGTAACATACCAGTACTGTAAGTTATTTGGCTTCTGGGGAAAATTGGCCTCAAGTGTGAGTATGTGTCTGTGTCTGTCCTAAATTGGACTGGCATCCAGTCGAGTGTGTAAACTGCCTTGTGCTTGTTGCTTGTCGAGATAGGCTTCTCCGCAGCCCTGATTTGAAGAAGCAGCTAGAAAACGGACAGATGGAATTATTTATCTGTTCATTTGAGATGAGATATTATACACACAACATATGGATCCTCTTCAACATCAAATACACCTCAACACTGTAGCCTTTTGGAAAAGTCATAGTCACTGCTGTATTCTTTATGCTTAAGATGATATTAAATCTGAAGTCATTAGCCCTTCCCTTTTTTTCTGTCAGTAACATGTATAAAATACTGTTCTAGTCAGTCTGTTTTGCTACACGGAGAAGACCATGCACTTTTTACATTTGTTCCTGTGTATGAAGAGGGGACAATTTTTTCCCAGCTCTTTAAAACCCTGGAGGGCTATATGTTCTCTGAAGCATCCTCTCAGGTGCTTTGAATGTCTTATCATCATACCAGTTTTGGATAATAACATTATGGGTGTGAATTTACGGTTAATGCTGAGTACTGAACTGGCGTGTTGATCATTTTAAGCTCTTTTTTTATTTTTCAAGTCCTGACCATGTTTAGTAGGCATATTTTATCACAAAATAAAAAATGTGACTAAGACAAAGTGACTCTAACAGGAAGTGACAATTTCATGAACTGTAAATCACTCAGCCTTTAAGAGACCAAATTAGCTGTACACAAAGCCTGCTTCAGTGCTTTTAGCGCCTTTCCTCATGCTGTGCTGAGCTAGTTCTTTCATTTCCGTGCTTGTGGAGTCTTACCTTTCTCGGCTTGTTCTATTATTTGCCTCACTGCCTTTTTCAGGCTGTTGGCCCGTAGCATGAGCTGCTCCCTGGGCTTGAAGAACTTCTGGGGGGACGTCTTCTCGGTGAGGTTTTCTTCCAGCTTCTCCTTCAGCTCTGTCAGGGACTCTTCGCTCAGCTCCTCCTCCTCCAGCTCCTCTTCCTCCTCGAGCACCTCCTCCAGCTCCTCCCCCTCCTCCTCCACAATGGGCGGGGGGCCGTGAGGCGGGTGAGGAACTGCCTGGGCCTCAGCGTTTAGGGTCTGCAGGAGGGAATCTAGCTTCTCGTTGAGGATTGTGCACTGGAACGAGGAGGAGGAGGAGAGGAGAGGAGAGGCAAGGTCATTTAGACATGTTTTACTGTGGGATAAGACTTCACACAGGTCTCGAAACAGGTCTCTACCACATTGAGACCAGACAGAGCACAATAAATTGTAATTTACCGCTGTCAGTGGAATTTCCTTTTAGCCAGTGTACTTACTTTCAAAGACATTGTTTCGGCCTCATCTGTATTCTCCGTGGTTTTCTCATAGGATTTCCCAACTTTGGCAACAAAGTCCTTGACAGTTTCACACAGAACCCTTCAGGGATGGAAAAAGCTGGCGTAAGATTTAGTGTATTCCATCTTTATTCCACAGACGAGAATATAGTTATCTTGCCATTTAATCTCCATTGCTTTTCTCAGAAAATAAGACCGGAAAAAATGTTTTCAACAGAATTTCTTGCCAGTTTGAAATGGTCACTATAGTGACCATCTGCTCATGAAAAGAGGGAAGTGTAAATACACATCTGTCCTCCATAGTTCCTCCCTAACAGCAGATGGTTGTGAGGTAAAGGCTGAGCTGTTTCTCCATGGCCTTGCTGGGTTCATGCTAGGTCAGAAGGTACGGGATAAGACAATTGTCTCAAGCCGACCTTCCCATTACTCTCTTGGTTGCCAGTCAAGAAGGGAACCAAGACAACAACAGGTAAGGTCAAGCATGTTTATGCAGTACTTGATGCAGCCGACGGTGGGCATGTTTTTACTTTTCTAAAAAAAGCTCTGATAAAATCTTTTCGAAAAGTTTAACCCTGAATTTTCCAAAAATATACTTTTTCCCTGTGCTCAGCATGCTGTGTTTGGAAATCTATGAAAAGGGTCTTTTATATTTTATATAATGCTATATCTTTTTATATAGACCAATATCTCCTTATTTCACTTTAAAATGATGTGTCATGTTTTCTCACTACTTACTTAGCAGATGATATGACCACGGAGTGCTGGTCAGAGTTGAGGATCTTTGTTAGGTGAGCAGCAACTGAATCCTCATATGCTGAGATCTGGAACTGAGCCCATGGCAGACATGAGAGAAAAGATCAGAACAAATACAAGCTCAAGGTCACACTGTAGGACTACAGGACAGAAGAAAAGAAGCACATCACAAAAAAAGAATTACACCGTTTATGTACATTTGTGGTGAGTTGGAACTACATACAACTTAGTCCAGGGGTTGTAGTTAAAGTAAGTGGCGCCTCAACCTGCAGATAATGTGCATAAGGCAGGATTCATCCTTCAGAACACCCCTCTATCACAGCCACACATATATGGGGGGCAATTTGGAGACCAATTAACTTTGACAGAATTACCTTCACCCTGTGGAATAAAACCGGAGCATCCAGAGATAACCCTGTGACTGCAGGGGAATACAAGGTTTACCCAGAAGGACTCCAAGCCATAATCAAATGCAAGATGATAGAGGTTCGGGGTGGCTGCGTCAGCCGCCTTGCCATTGTTATGCCCCAAGCTTGAGGTCAATTGAAATAACATTTAAACCCCTCTTGTTAGGAGAGAGGGATTTCGGCTCTTACCGGGCATTCTTCTGACCCCTCTTCTGGGGTGGCAGGACAGCTCTGCTTCGGAGGTATTTTAATTTCATATGTCATGATGCTCCACCTGGAAACACCGAAAAACATTATTCTTTAATTGCATTTCTCTGCACACATCCGCCATCAGTGTAGCACGTGTTTCTCTGTGAGAAATAATGTATATAAATGCTAAAAGAAATAATTGACCATTAAATGAAACAACAAAGACGGTCGAATTTTATGTTGTCCATTTATACAAAACTGTGAATTTGCACCAATGGCAAAATATATACAGTATGTGAATTTAGACATTTTACAAGTGGTTCATCAACAGGAGGATAATGCCACCAGTCTGTGCATAAATGCTGTATACAAAAAGCTACAAGTTATTCCTACTCCAAAAGACAGATTTATTGTTTGGTTCAAAGAACATCACATTATAAACAAATCTAGGCAGGTCAGGTACCAGAAAGTCAAGAGATTTGGTAGATAGTTTTGTGTGCAAAGACGCTGGTACTGCTTTCAACTCTAAATGTGCTTTCTTGCCATTTCATTAGTGTCAGTGGATCCTTGTTTAATGTTGGCAGTGAAGTAGCCCACTGTGCAGATTTCACTTGCAACACGTTCACTTAGGATCCCACATTCACTTGACTTGACTGTTACTGCCATCTTCTCTGCAAATTGCAAGTGAATATGTGAGTGCGTGGAGAAGACATTCTGATCAATTAATTCCGGACATTCTCTCTCATCCTAGCGTTAATCCCCGCATCAGCAGGGTCCGCTTGGTGGCTTGAACCAAATCTTTGAGATGACGCTGCCATTAAATGCGACCGAGAATACTCCAACCGACGCGTGGCTCCGAGGGGGGGGGAGAACAAAGTAATGTAGCCAATTCATAGAGGGGGATTATTAGGAGGCATGGGAAAATTTGGCCAGCACGCCAGGGTTACACCCACACTCTTTTTGATAAACACCCTGGGATTTTTAATGACCACAGAGAGTCAGGACCTCGGTTTTACATCTCATCCAAAGGACGGCACCTGTTTACAGTATAGTGTCCCCATCACTATACAGGGGCATTAGGACCCACATGGACCACAGGGTGAGTGCCCCCTGCTGGCCTCACTAACACCTCTTCCAGCAGCAACTTGTTTTTCCCAGGAGGTCTCCCATCCAGGTACTGACCAGGCTCACACATGCTTAGCTTCAGTGGGTTGCCAATTGTAAGTTGCAGGGTGACATGGCTGCAGGCACAATTAATTCTGGACATTTATCTAGTGTAATCCTGAACAGACAATAGGGAAACACTGCAATTGTAGTTTAGCTTTTGTTTCCCACGTCTGGATATCTGTGAGGTTTATAAATTCTACTGGGCATTTTTTCCGTGATTTAGGAAACATATCACTAAACGCATGGTTAACGCTGAATGTCTGTGACATAACGAGGACTGCAGTGTGCCAGAGTGCAATCAATACTCAGAAGCATCTGGCCCTGCACATCATACCTGTCAAGCATTTTTGTGCTGGCTCTCTCTAACTTCTCCAGGATCTGAGGAAGCTGCGTGTCATCGTCGCACGACGCACCCCAGCCCAGGACACGTGCAAGGTCATTCCCAGTGCCCAGGGGCAAGACTCCAAGCTGGCACTGAAACCAACCAGGCACCAGGTAACCTCAGACACGTACTCCGTATATACTGGCACACTTGGTACATAGCCATTACATCTCTAGCAAGTCAGAACCACTACCACATCAGATTGTTAAGTGGAATTTTATTTGTGTTCCAAAACCCATATCATATTGATTTAAGATTAACAACTCTTTCTAATATTCTTTTGGCTACCTGACATTGCAAAGGTCCTAGGTCAAGCACTATTATGACAGTATAGCCTTAATCAATAATAACACGTTCTGCTATAAACTCACTAGATCAGAGGACAAGAGGGGATTCCTGTAGTTTTGTTAGCTAATATTAACAGGTAACTCCTCCTAGGCCATGCTCAGTTTTGAGGTACTAAAATACATATGGTTACAATACTGACTGTGTGGCATTGAACTTGTCCTACTGTTTTCATTTACTGTACATTGCAAGTTACATTATTTCAAGCTTGTGACACTCAAACAGAGCACATTTATTATTTTCTTCAATGTTTCTGAACTCTGAAGATCAAAACGTCTGTTCACACTCCGCCGCCACCGACCTGTTTGTGAAGGTTCAGTTTGTCGATTTCTGACAAAACCCAGCCGACGCTACCATCCCCACCACACACCAGGATCCGAAAATTGTCAAACTTCTGAAACAAGCGCAAACTGAAAGAGACAAGTCACAGGAATCCAAAACTGGTCATTATCTGCAAACACCCCAGAGAATGAAGAATCCGACACATAGTTGGGCAATTTATACAAACAATGTTTTTTACAAGTTTCAGGTGTTCTTTAGATAAGATGCTGTGGGAGACTGAGAAAGAGAGAGAAACTACCTACTCTTTTTGAGTTTTAGAAAAAGGAGATTTGGTTTGAACTTCGCACCCTGTGCAGGTGTAGTATCAGAGGAGAAAACAAAATCTTGTTCGAACACAATCGTCTTTATCGGGCCATTCCAGAAAACCGGCCTCAAACAGTCAGCAATTAGCAGGAAGAAAGTGGCGAGCAATTTATGAAGACCTCCACCATCGCATAAGGAAGGGAAAGAATTTCAACAGAAAACACATATTCAGTCTAATACCGATGAACTCTGCGTTGTTCCATAAAATCCCCCTAATGTGTGTGTTTATCCTTTGCAAAGAATATTTCTGTTGCAGATTCCTGAACCATGGCAACATGCTTCCAGGTACACTTACCCTAAATGAGGTCCTCCGTTTACTAAATCAAACACCTGAGCAGGATTTAGTAACTGTTTGAACCTGCGAAGAAACTTCACGCCCTGATTATCCCCACTCTTGGAGTTCACAAATACGAGCAGTGGACTGGCACAAGATGGCGGGCAGGTGGCTTTCCAGAAGCCTGTGGGGAAAAAAAAAGAAAGGTACAGTAAGTTGGATGAATTGGGTTCTCCTCTCATTGCCAAAAGGCTGAAATGATCTTTACGCAATTGTACCGGTACGTTCTGTGCAACTGATCAATCTGATGTAAGGGTAGGAAAACTGGAATCAGCTCAAGTATCCTCTGTTTGGGACACAGTGGTCACCATTGCTGGTCTGAGAGCTGTAGTAGATAGCCAAGCTCATTAAGCTCATTAACAACCAGTCATTATACACAGGGGGATGAAAAAGAAAAAAAGCAGGTGATTCTAAAATTTTAAGGTATGACAGAATCAACATACCGGGGCAGGAAAGGAAAATAAAGGGGGTTAATTTGCCATCAGCTGATTTAAATCATTTATATGCAAACTGACATATTGCAAATAGAGAACATTTCTCTTCCACTCTCTCCTGTATTATTAATTAAGCTTTTAGTACAGTACTTCCGCGTCCATTGACAGCTTACATACTTCTGATTATAACGCAGTATCTTCAAGATGAATATTTGCTGAGAGCAACATTAAAAAATTACATAGAGCTAAGCTAGTTTCCTAACCCAACTTGATAAAAAGAAAAAATAAATGGCAAGCAATTATATTATGCTTTTTAGGATCGAGATTCAATTTCAACAATCCAATTTCATTTTCATGATTGAAGAAATAGTTATATAGAGCGCTGATAGGTTTAAAAGGTTTGACTTTAAAATTGCAGAACTGATTGATGGATATTACCTTACAGAGAGCATTTAGCCAGGTGTGACGCATTTTGCTAAATCTAAAGATTCCAGTTAAAAATGAGAAGTTATCATAATGAGACAGTTTCCTCAGAAACAGATATTAATTATGTGATTCAGAGAGACAGGATCACATGATATTTAGCAGGAAAACCTATTACATCAATATTTCGTGAATATTAAAGGTATGATAAATGATCATCATATAAAATCTGTGTAATGTTGCCCCAGGAACCTGCCATTTTCATAATGAATGCCACTCACATCTCTTATGTGAAATGGACTGTGGCAGACAATGGTTGAAACAAAATGTTGAGCTCCATAAATAAATAATGCATAATATATGAAAGGAACAGTATGGAAACTTTAAGAATCTAGATCTTTGCTGCTGAAATTGTAAAGACTTACCTCTGGCTTATCAATGTAGTGAATATTACAGTACTATAGAAAAAAACTATCAGCTCCAGAGCTTTATTAAACTTTAATGCTTCTTGGCCCCGAAACAATTCCACCTAATCCATGCTAACAATACGTTTAATTAATATTAAATGATATTATGTAACACAGATCCTTGCCATTCCTCTGCCTGAGGTATATTGGCCCTGGTGATCTCCTGAGTGGATCATCATTTAAGAGGTCAGTTACTTCCCTTTCTAAAGAAACTCATTATTTCCTCCGAGACGTTTTACTTCAACCCTCCCTCACTGTTCATTTGCAGTTAGAATAATGAAAAAAAAAAAGCTTATGATTCATTTTAGCCTCCTGAAATACTCTTTTCCCACTTGGCTCTTTTTAAACCTTAGATGCGCTAAGAACTGGAAGCGGCGGGCGCTGAAATTTTCCAGTCCCCCTCGATCAGTGCCATGAGACCGTAGACGTTCTCGCGTTGGGTTTTTTTTGAACGGGAATGTACACTTCCCAGGTACCGGAGCCCGGCCGCCTGGGAGGTGGGGTGCCGGCGTGACAGCCCCGCTCTAGGCTGGAGCAGTGGAGCGAGCGAGGGGGCGAGAGGGAGATTTCCCCGCGGCTGTGGCAGGCGGGGAAGGGGGGGGGGGTTGGATGCCTGCTGCAGGGAGGGAGTCACGGAGCTCTCCCACGTGAGGCTTTCCGCACAGAGCCAATTAAGATGCCAAGTCCTTCAGCCGCAGCCGTCGGCAAGAGGAGAAACTCCCCGCACGTGCAGCGAGGGCGAGCTAATCACCAGCGTTTCCTTCTCATCCCCCGTGCACTGCACCACTATTACTGCTGTTGATATTTGTGTTACAGCTGTTGAGGAATTACTAGCATTTCTGATCTCTCTGTCCACAACTTAACGACAGGCTTTCCTTTGCGCTGCACAACCCTGTTATATCCCATCGATAATCCTTGCAAATAAATGTATCTGTGTCAGGCTTTGACAAATGCAAATTATCTCCTTACCACTAATCTAGTTTAAGCATTATTTATATTTCCCGCTATATGTTTCGATGTGCTGCAGCTGCATCACACACCTACCCTGCTGCTCTCTGTTCTTGAGTGCAGTAGACATCAGAGTCTGTCATGGGCTTTACATAACCAATGCAAACCACACACTCTGTATTCCTCAAGGTCCAATTACAGTGCTTACTGTGTGGGAGCAACAGTGGGATGGTTACCCTTTAATTGGTAAGAACTCCTTCACTGTGGTGGGGGGAGGAGACAACTCTCAAGACTGAAATATCAGGTGTGGCTGTATTGTCAATAGACCCTTAATATTCACACACGGATCAAACAGTGACTGTAGACAAACTCTGCATTTTCAATAAACAAAATCTTGAAATGATATTTCATATTTTTTTACTGACACATTTGAATAAAAAATGATTATAGTTGGGCTCCTGGTAATTGGAGAGGAATTAATCGTACATTTTCAACCTTAGTGACTGCTACTGCAACAGCTCTTCAGCCAGGCCTGGAGTGTGCAATGATGAAATCTAAAGGAACACTGTCAACATCCATTTATCTAGGAATCTGCCACAATCCTGCAGCTTTTGGCTCCCTAATTAAATCTGAAAAGGGCAAAGGGTTCAGGAATATGATGAATGCAAATAAGCTTGGTGTTTATTTTCCTGAAACAGTTTCATGTTGCCAGTTCTTCCCCTGCTACAAAAAAATAAACAGTACTAGGGATTGCTAATTTATTAATTTGAAAACCAAATGAGATGCATTTCTCTTCTTGATTTGTCTGCTCTCTATGTAACACCCTCTTAAAGATCCCTCTTGACTGAGCAAACGGCCGCAGTTAAGTACTGTAAACATCACCTTTGGGTTAAATTGAATAGGTATATTGCTCTGCAGCTCTAACAGCTCTCCTTGTATTATGCTAATTTGCTAAAAAATAGCACTTATATATACATGATGATTTGAGATACAATTTTTATGCCTCTATATACAGTAGTGGAGCCTAAAGATAATGCAAGGATATTTTTATGTCACTTTTGAATCTTCTTGTGTTTGAAGACGATATACTAACAGCTTCATACTACTCAGGTACATTGGGACAGATACATCATTACTTTTGTATTTGTATTGTACAGTACGTGTCTAGTCTAGTATGAAATTTGAACGGGTTTTGGAATGGGATTCACCTTGTGTTCCAAAGCCTGTTCAAAATCTTAAGAAGTGATGCGCCAACTGAAAGGAAATATGGCAGACTGATTTAATCACTAAACACCTGAAATTCTAGGAAAATGTTTACGTCCATATCATGTTAACTCCTTCTTCTCAAAAACTTCATGGGCATCATTTTAGTTCCAGCTGGGTGAACACTTGTGAAAATGAGGTTCCCGAGTAAACCATAAAGTCTAACTGACCACCATTTATTTTTCTTTGTCGATGTCTGACCTAAAACACTAACACCAACCATCCGTTCACATTTTCTCACCACTTTACACAGTATAGGGTCGCAAGGGGGCCAGAGCCTATCCACGCAAGCAACAAGCGCAAAGCAGGATGCACCCTGGGTGGGACGCCAGTCCATCACTGGATACACACAGACACAGACACGCACACAGTCACACCAGGGCCAATGTTCCTAGAAGCCAACTAACTACTTACGTGTGAGCATAATATTAACATATGACGTAATGTTGCTCTTGTGGAAAAATAGCAAACCCGCTATTTTGTTCTCACAGCTTAAAACCTCTTTCTCAGTCCTCAGTTCATGTCTTAGGAACCGCTACACTGACTGAAAAGAAACAGTCAAGCAGCAGATTTCATGAGCACACCAAAGTTGCCTCTGCTTTGTCAATAACTGCTTAGTGCAAAGTGTCCTCTTACTTCTCCTGTTCAAGGACCATTTGGTCAAATCATTTCTAACCTTGCAGGAATCATTGTAGTGTCAATACAAATTACATACAGTGAAATGGGGATCCTGAATCGACCACACGGGGCATGTGAAAACTCTTAGTTGGACAAAAATTCAAACTACTTTTGTTTCAGTACCTCTGTACTGATATGAGTGGAAACTTGACAGGTTTCGTCACACCTGGACGGGCTTCAGAACTGTGTGCTTAGTACAGTATTACTAGTAAGCATCCATGTACACTATCACCTGGTACAATTTGAGTGGAAAAACAAATCACAAATATATTACAATATTGTGTATGCTATGTACAGTATCACATTTCCACAACAGCCTCTGTGTAATTCTCTGAATCTCCATGTGAAGGCTAATGACAGATGAACACTGAAATGAAGGACTTACCATCAGAGTCTATGCTGTTGAGAGCAGTGGGAGGAATGATGGACACTTTGCACTGACCCAGGGGGCATTTTCGGGGATAAATATCCTTGCAGGCAGTGTGCACCTGTGAGAACACCGTAACAACCGTAAGCCATCCACCATAACACACAAACAAAGATAAAGGGAATAAGATTTTAATGTGAGTGAGAAGTTAAAGTCAACTAGATTCAGCTGACAGTCTAAGAAATTGTAATATTGAAGTGCTCTAATACGTTGGTTCCCATCCCTGGTTCTGGAGGTTTATAGTATTTTTTGAGGTTTTTGCTGTTTTCATTCCAGGTAAACTCTATGCCTCCAGTGTTAATTGATGACTTCCTTGAACATCTTATTTAAACTTTTATTTAACTTGTTTCTTGGGTCAGTCCTGAGTATCAGCAATACCCTACCTCAAACGTACTGTACTGCGGCCAACGTCAGTACCCAGAAAATTGAACAGCCTATTCCCAACTTGCCTGGCAAGATTAGCACTTGATCAGTTGTTGATGAACAGACAACGGAGGGCATGACTCTACCAGACACTCCCACAATGAGTGTTTTGTCCTGCCATAGAGGTGAAACTGGTTACTTTTCATACAGCACCCCTGAATGAGCTCAGTTCTGAACCTTAAAAATTGGGAAAGGGTACAGCCAAATCAAAAACTGATATAAATTACCCTGTGATTATGGACAAAGCTGGAGCAAAACTGGAAGACAAAGTACAGTGTTCCTCCAGGACCAGGGTTGGGAACCACTGCTGTTTTACATCAGCTGTGTGCTTCTGTGAGCATTCAGTTAAAAACCCTGTAATACTGACCAAACACCCAGCCTATTACTTCTGCCTTGAACAAAGCAAAAAAATACATTACATACACAGTACAACTTGGAAAAAGGTCAGGGGTAAATGAACTGGAACTTAGAAGATGGACTGTTTCTTGCAGCATGTCTGCATATTCAGTCTAAATGCCCCAGAACGTTTGAATCAGAGATGGGTTTAACAGAGACAGCACAGGAGACAGGGAGTAAGAAAATGCTGCCACTCTTCTATTTATGTAAAACATTCAAAACGAAAGACATCACAAATGACCATCACCAAAAGGAAAAACCTCTTTAGCGAGAACTGAAATACACTTTTGAGAGGAAGAGCACTCGTCACGTACTACCTATCATTATCACAGGGGGAGTAATTTAGTTGATGCACACGTAGATATACTACCCTGATAAGCTGTGCAGTGATTTCACCGCAACAGACAAGGCTGGACATGCAATTGGACAGCCTGCAGAGGAAGCAGGAAGTGTTGCGGTCCTCACCATAGCTTTGCACCAGAGGCAGCGCCAGTCCTGGAGCCTGAGAACACTGCCACATGTCTTGTCACACACAGCACACTTGGCACTAACTGGGAGGTTTCCTTCAAGCCACTGATGAGGCATTGCAATCTGCAAAACAAAGTGGGCACATCAGAGAAGCCTCAACCCATTGCAGGGCATTGTCCGTGTCTGTCTTTTGCCTCTATTATAATATTATCTGTCGAGCGGCTCGCATGTTAAAATTTAATTTTTACTTTAAAAGTTCTTTGATCCAGTTAGAATAAAGGACAGGATACATCTACATTACGTGACTTAAATAAAAAACAATTTAGCACAATACTGGGGGTAATAGCATAAATTATTATCCTCAGCTTCTAATAAGAAGATCTTTTCACATATGTCCCCAAATTAGCAGAGTACTAAATATGTTTATCTTCTACCCATAATAGGGCTTTATTATGTTTCTAAACAACGAGTAGGAATGAAGAATATATTTGGCGTCGCATTTTACCCATCCAATAAGCCACTCCTAAACTTTAGTTGCAATAAATAATTTGTTCAAATAATTATGTTCAAAACCGGCTAATCGATAATTGGTAACTTTTGGCTAAAATTATGCATCATGTTGTTATTCTTATATTTTTTAAGCACAAGTACTTGATTGTTAGAGGCTCCGGGACATAAGGGGTTATAATTTGACCACTATAAATTTAACTGCTCACCACATTACAGTAAAACAGGTTTTTGTTAAAGAAAATTTTGAGATGCTGCATTATCCCAGTTCTTTTGTGAAGTTACATTAAAAGAGGAGACGTCTGTCTCCAGCACAATGTGAAGACCCTCAGAGAGCAAAGAGTTTGTGTGAGGAGACAGAAGTACAAATCCCACCCACAGTTACTAGATGTTTACACATCCCTTACTGTTCACATAATGCATTCTAAAAAAATATTATTTTACATGCTAATAAAGAGGGAAAAGCTTTAAAAAAAGAATTACCCCGTCCTCATCCTCTATGATATCTCTGCCAATAGAGGCCAGCGTTGTCCATTTGCAGTTGTTGGTGGCCCTGACAGCACATCTCTTGTGTGCTTTAAACTTGCAAACTGAAAAACAGAATTAAAGAGAAGAGTTAATGCAGTGTCAGAAAAAAAAAGGTCTGACATCTTCCGTGAAGTCTCAGAACAGCAATGTTTGACCCGTACCATTTATATCATAATTATTTTTTTTCTTGGAATTCATTACAGTGAAGTCCAATTTAACAGTTCTTGTAGGATTAGGATTAAAGAACACTGCCCTCTCCCAAGATAAGCAGTAAGAACTGCTTTCTAGAAAACTGCAGATTCACAGACCTAAGAGAAGTCAAAACAATTCAAGATAGTCATGACCTGCATTACAAGTAAATACAACAGTTTAACTGGGTGAACTGTTCTATCCATTTATAACAACCATTTTTCAAGCTAATTTCAGAAGAAACGAGGAAGAACAAAACAGAGTTCTCTGTTAACGGATCGTGTTCTGGTGCCTGATATAATGGAAATAAAGATGGATTATTCAAAAAAGCACATTGTTCCACATCCATCTGCAGCTGAATGGTCACTTGTACAGTATATAAAAGGTGTTCTGATTGTGCCAATGAATTGGAAAAATCCTGTAAATGCAGTGGTTATTATAGTCATGTTGTGTTGACATTATAAGACAATTGAGAACAGTGATTTACTGTTCTGTATTTGGGTTCCTAAGGACTGCTAAAGGCCAGTAGGTGCCTGTTCTGTTATTATAAGAGATCTGTTAAGGCAGACAACTGTAATGCACACCAAGCATTGTGGGGAAGGGCTGATTCCTGCATTGTGGGGAAGCAACTATGCACTGAGACTGAGACTGCTATGGTGACCAAGCTGAAATGTGATAAAATATAACCACTGTAAGCAGCTTATTGATTCATCCATATGCTTGAAGCTGGAAATTAAAATTAAACTGCCCAGATTAGTGAGCTAGTGAGCATGTCAGAAAGCATGTCAAACATTCAAAAGGTGTACAAAACACACAAAAATGCCCAATATTTTCCCTGTCATCAGTGTTTCATGACTTATAATTTCAGTAATTTAAAGGAACTACAGCTAAATGATCTTATAACAAGACTAATAAACTAGTCAGTCCTATAATGTGCATTGTAATATAAGAATAACTTACTACAATAATTATTTAATAATAATCTTTATCCGATATAGTGCCTTTCACAAAAGGTGTTATACTAAAAAATGAAACAAAATAAAGGGAAAGAAAAAACTTTAGAAACACACAAATAATGGATTTAACAATCAATTAAACTAATGTTGGAGTGTAAAAGTAGGTTTTATGTTGAGTTTTAGAAGTGAGGACTGATTTGCTAGATCTAACATTTCTCTGAGGCTGAGAAACTGGTCCCTTAACCCAATTATTATTAACATATTAAGAAACCAGAAGATTTAAAGACTAGTTCTGGAAAAAGAATGCCAAAAGCCAAATAGTACAAGAAAGGTGTAGGTGTATAGAGAGATAATAGTATACAATACACCGTCAGGCAATACATCATTCAAGCCCAATGTAATACAAGTGACATTTTATCTCTCACTGTCCTTTGTCTGTGATTTACACCTGTAGATACTGTACTGTATGTGTTGTTATGCCATTTCTAAGCAAAGTGCTGCAATTCCAGATAGCCACCCACACTACCGGCTTGTTTGCAATTTTAATAAATTAAGCACTCCCAGTTAGTCTCTTGATTTCCTTGAGTAAATTGAATTGCTGATTTAATCAGATTAAGAGTGTTCTTCTTGCTTGGACAAGAATAAGAATTAAGTGCTTGATTGATCTCAGGCCCACCTCTACAATAATAACCAACTGCACTGTCAATATGGATTCTCTGAGTCCCCACCTGCAGCACAGCAGACTGTACAGACTGCTAATTTCAGCTGTTTGCTCAAGTACTGTACATGCAAACCCCTGATGGAGACATCATACAAGTTATTTAATGCCTATATTTCTTAAATCCAAAAATGCCCTCATGCAAATAGAGAAGTAAAGAGAAGTAAATAGAGAAGTAAAGTGAGATTTACCCTCTTTCTAACATCATTAGAAAGAGGGTAAATCTCATATTTAATACTGAAAATAAACAGATAAATTTGATCTTATAAAACATGAATCAGACTATTTCATGCTAACAAGAAGTAAAATTATAGCTTGCCACACCGCAAAACCTGTGTGGTTTTGCATTTACAAGACATACATTTACCATAAAAGTAACTCAGAATTTTTTTAAAAAAAATTCAGAAAAAACAATACCTATTAAATCCCAATTTTCCAGTCAGTAAACTCATTACACCTTCTCCATATGGTTTAACAGTCTAATCTCCAAACAGGCTAAGAGTAGTTAATGTTCATCTACAGGACTGATGCCAACTCCTCTGTGGGTCACTTGCTCAACCCATATGCCTCACTCAAGACCTCATTAAAATATATACTGAATGTGTCTGTCTACATACATGTACAAATAGACACCAACATACAGTTCTTATTATGGACTGCTTCTGCAAAAAAATGTAATAAATGTTTTTAAAAGTCACTCTCCACTCAAATAAATCTTAATAGTATCAGAAGAGATGTCATGTTACATTAATAAGACAGTGACTAGCCCTAAGGCTTCCTTCTCCCTTTGTTTTTGGTGCATGAGCAATCACAGAGACATCTATTTTTGTTTTAATTTTCTATATTCATATTGTTTTAGAAGGTACTCAATGTTCAATAGCAATTCTGCAATTATCTGGAATGACAGTCAATAAAAAATATCTGCCCTGTATGCAAGACATCTACTAAAAGGCTCACACCATAAGATTCAAACAGTACTGTTATCTATTAGAACCCTAATTTCTGTTAGGTGTTTTACGTAGACAATGTAGAAGGTATTTGTCACAATTTTGTGACACATCAGAATGTGTCAAATATACAGTAATCCTCACACTTTGTACCACGATAAACTGAAAGTCAGTTTTGTATTGATTTGTTCATAACACAAGTAGAATGTACTGCTGTGCCAGTAGATTCCCTCTTGGACAAAATGGAGGTAATAACCAATATTTTTAATCCACTTGGCAAAAATACTTGTATTTCTTCAGAAATACAATTAAACTACAGAAATGCATACCCCATTTGATCTGATCAACAACACTGGATATTGATAAATGGAGGACAGTATTCTCTAAATTTGTTGTTTTTATTTCAAACTGAAACTGTAGTCTACATTTGTCTCATGTTTAAAATATGCACGAGCACAGCAAGTTCAAACTGCACCACATCTCATGTGCTGAAACATGAAAACTAATAACATCTTTGTTGTTTTTTAAACACGGTCCAGAAGACTAACACGCTTCACATCATCAGAATGGTTTCAGCTATTAACAAAATAGAAACAGTCTCATGTTTTCCATATTGAAATGCAACGAAAAACAGCAATGAGCTGAGAATCATACAGGCCAAAGGCACCCATAGAAAATGAACATATTGCAGTTCTGACAGCAGAGGAATACTTTTGGATTAGTGATGACTCTTGCATGATGCAGTAGCTTTAATGAAAAAATACTCCAAGCATACAAAAAATTAGTCAAATTCACTTTCCCCATAAACGAAACATATGCATAAATAATTAGAGATACGTTTTCCTTATTGGTTTGAAGAATATTAACTACGTAGCTCATCTTATTAGTGTTTTGAAAACTGACAAACGTCTAACGAGCTAACTATAGAAATGCACAGACACCACAGCTGCTGTGCTGAAATATGCCCTTTTTCATAGTGGGAAAAAAAAAATCAACAGACACAATCCAAACACAGTCTCAAATGTAACGGCCAAGGACAAACTCATGATCTCCTTTCAACAAGGCTTTCCAATACCTTTCACGCTACCATGGGAAGCAATTACATAAAACATTTGCAACTACCGTACGAGGACAAGGGGGGAAACGCGAGGCGAGGGAGAGCTTACCTTCACAGGAGAGCCCGTGAGAGGTGACCCCAGAGAGACTATCCCGGCACACGTTGCAGAAGGTGGGCCGAGCATGGGAGCAGGCATACCAGTTGTGCATCCCTGAGAAATGTTCCACATTAAACTGTGCCGTCTAGCAAAGGAGAAGTTAGACAAATTGGCAGCGCTGGGATAAGACTCGGTCTGAGAGCACTTACAGCTAATGGCTTTCAAATGCATCACAACCTCAACCACACGCATCGGAACACAAACAATCAGGAGCTCGGGAGGCGTCCAGTGAAATCACAGGGGCGCCCTTCACCCCCTTATCCACTGGTTGCAGGCACCACTGTGGGCGTTGGCCTGACAAGTCGCCACATTTATTAGCAGCACTGTCAGAGATCATCTTGCCCTGTGGTGTCTCTTCAGGCATGGCAGCTTCATATTGCTACAAACGTGTGAGAGTTGTCCTGATTTCTTTATTTTTTTGATCACCAGATCAAAACGAAGATATGACAATTTGAAGTGAAGGTTAAACAGGAAACAGGTTGTTACAATAAATCAACATATCTATTAAGCTAAAACATGGCAATTTATACTGATTTTATAAAACTCAGCCAGCCTTTAAATTATAGTATTAAATAAAATGAAAGAAAAGCAAACACTAGAATAGTTGTTGGATGAGAAAGATGAACCTGTAAGGACTGAATTCTTTACAACCCCATTAACAGTATTCACATTCACATACATTTTTATGAACAACATCACAATGAAAGTGTTTAAAAATTCAGCTCCCATTTTCCCACTGAATGTGTGATTGACTTTCTGACATTATATTCACAATTATACAACAAAAGCATGTTTCCATTAAGTGCAACAGAATATTCTTTAAAGCTCGTGCGATTGCATAGAATGGATCCTAAATATATACGGAGAGGGATTAAAACAGATTACAGTATTCCATCATTAAAATGCCGTCATCCACTGAAGAAACACAGGGTGGCACCATATTTTAAAGAGCCCACCTAGAAAGGTGTGCAGGTAAATGTAAAAGTACACAGCTTCTAAAAGTAAGATACATGTACAGTAAGGTACATGGTGAGATATTCATGAAAACCACCACAGATCAGACTGGTACGGCAGCAGACAGCATGCAGCATCCTCACTGGAAACTTGCCGATTCTGACATCCGAAGGCAATAATCTCAGGAAAATAAGATCTTACCTCGTAATGCTCTCTAGACTGAACAGATTTTAATGAGGTGATCCAGTCCTCCATCTCCTTTCTGTTCTCCGCACAAAGAATGAGCCTCCGGAACGGTGTAATTACCTGGAAAAAGACTGCAGAGTAAGTGTTTGTGAACTGATGGGGAATGCACAGCCAGCAGGGATCTGTCTGTTCTTTACACCCCAGCCAGGGCAGCCCACGCCTCCAGAGCCACAGCTTGAAAGATATCTACTCTGACGTCCAGAACGTCTTGGAAAATGCCTCGTTTCATAACGAGGACAGCCTTTCCTGAACCTCCCACAAAAGATTAGGATGTGCTTTTAATGCACTCATTATTTATTGATCATACTGTCTTCAACTTATTTTTTTTTCCATTTCCATTCTAAAGAGGCTGCCCTCTTCCTCAGTCTCTGCTGGCGGTTGCCTGCAAAACAAACGCAGAGCACTTTAGGAAAGGAACTGAGGCAGGGCTCCAAAAACAAGAGAAAAGCGTTCTCACCTGAAACCTCCCCACACACACATGCACACACACACACAGATGCACAAAGACACTTCTTTCAGTCAGGATTGGTAAAATAACAAGCCAGAGAAACATCCCAATTCCTCCCTGTTTAACAGTCGAGCACAAAGCGATAAAAGGCGTTCATTTATTTCTGTTTTTTTCTTGCCATATGGTAACATGAACAGTTTAAGAAATACCATCATCACATTACAGAGAACAACATAGTGGAAAGTAGAGATTTGCACACTACTAGTACATGACTGACATATTGTACAGCCAGACCATTCTGTATACCTGCTATTTTAGATTTTTTACTTTAGTGGAAACACTTTCTGAGCTGTATTACATAACATATATGTATTTTTGTTGCAGAATAAAATAGAAGAAAATCTCCACATACTGTAACTGTGAAAAGTCAGCCTTATAAACAGTGATGCTGATCTGAAGATTACTACACGACAAACATCCATTTCCGTTCAGTTCAGATGTTCAGTCCATTTATACCCTTTAATTGCAACACTAAAGCGAGACTGAACACTTACTGCAGTTCAGTCGTGCACTGTTCACAGTCTGAGTACTAATGACATGTACTTTCTTTACATACAGAATGTATTTGCATTTTCAAGGAAACATCCGTAAAGAAGGAGTAAGATCTAAAGGATAAATGTCATAAAAGAAGATGCACAAAGTGACACAATTAAAAAGCTTATAGACCTGCTGAACACAAGGATGTGAAACAAAAAAATACGTTTTGCTAGAATCCATAAAAGTCACAGCTTGCATATACTGTTTCTGATGCATATTTTTTCAGAATGCCTGTACTTGCATCCTTCCTCCGAATTTCAATGTGGAGCTAAATGACTGATTAATTTTAAATCCTATTCCAACTTCTCAGTTTTCAAAGTATGTGCTTCAGCTTGCAGTTTTGGCTGTCTTGACAGGTTTCTTTATGCATTTTGCCAATTCTGTTACAAAACCCCTTAGGATTAATAGACTGGATCGCTGGGAAAGTAAAAACATGTCAGCCAGTCTTTGCATTTTGAAAAAAAAAAGGCTATATTTAAAGGCTATTGTGTACACTGATAGAAACGTGTTCATGCAAAGCCTTTACTTCAAGTCTGGTAAAAAAAAAAAAGCTTTTGAGTTTATTTAATAGGTGAGCAAAGATACAGAAGGGTGACTGAAGCAAGAATTCCGTTGGCTTCAGGCCAACGAAGAGCAGAAATGCTGTTTACAAAAGTACGGAAACAAACTGCGCTCGCCGAGGTTTCCATCATTACAGTACCGTTCTGGAGGCTTCTTAGAAGATATCTGGTAAAGTGTCAGTGACCCTGAAACAAGCTAATGATTTCTCACACTTTAACTGCAGGAAATCACCAGTTCCACATTGCTTTCTTCTGTGGGGCAGGTAAAGCAGATAACGCACAGCATTTTGCAAGTTAACAAATGAATAAATAACAAGCCCCAACCCTCCAAAAAACAAAGGCAGTTCTGTATATCTGCTTTGCTTTCCGTCTTCGGCTGTCATTTCTCAGGTGCTGCCTAGCACAGTGCTATTCATTCTGTTTTGTGGGCAGCACAAGGACGATTCAGCTTCAGACATTTCAAGAAAAATGTCTCTGTTGTATCAGCAAGGATGACTCCCACCATTATGAGGCTCACATGAGGACTTCATATCGTGGCATTTTTACACAAGGTGATTTAATCTTCCGTACAGATATTTGGTATTCCAGGCTGACAGGACATTCCATGGCCAAAATATTAGCAACACCACTGACTGACGTGTTATAGTTCTGTTAGCAGAACGGACCTTGTAAATTACAGGCCCACACGGGTTTTAAATACCTGCACCCCAATACAGCAGCTGGCTCACTCTCAGATAATATTAATAATAATAATTAATAATTGCTTACACTAATATAGCGCTTTTTCTGGACACTCCACTCAAAGCGCTTTACAGGTAATGGGGACTCCCCTCCACCACCACCAATGTGCAGCATCCACCTGGATGAGGCGACGGCAGCCATAGTGCGCCAGAACGCTCACCACACATCAGCTATTAGTGCGCAGGAGAGCAGAGTAATGAAGCCAATTCATAGATGGGGATTATTAGGAGGCCATGATTGGTAAGGGCCAATGGGAAAACTCTTTTTCGAGATAGGGGAGTAATGGTGTTTAGGAAAGACCTGCACATTCCTCTGTCCAATAGGAAAGAATTCTGGGACAGCCCTGGCCAGCACAAGTCATAGAAGTCCATCTCCTACTCCTCAAGACGGACACTAACTGCTGGCTACTGACAGGGTCTCACCATCATTATGCTATTCAGATATTGAAGGAAATTGCCCCTGCGGGTTATACAATATATGCAACAGAAAGCCAACCAGCTGTCGTTCAATTTACTGCTCTTCACAGTCCTTTCATGCCCACTGTTCTGCAAAATAAAACAAAATGATATAGAGGCTCTGAGAAGTGCGACTGGATAATCCAAATCCCTAACCTCAAATCACTGATTAATCTGTGGGTAGAGTCAAAGGAAACTGAGCAAATTAGGCAATGCATTGCAGCTTTTGGAGTTCCTGCGCCTGGCACCTCTGGGATTTTGGAAGTCGTTTAGGTTCATAATTATAGTAATGGTGAAGTAACACTTCTGTTGCAAAACAGAAAAAAAGGGTGAAATATGAAAGAATTACAGTTTTATTTTAGTAAGATGGTAAGGGCTCATAACTATTGAAGGGTATTTCTGTCAATGATTGTGATAATTGGTTCATTAAACAAAGTAATTGAATGTGACAACTTGCACAACAACATTTAAAGTATACCCTCTTGTTATATTTGTTATATCTGTTGAATCTGTCATAAGGAAGATATTTCTAGACAGAAGAATAATATTGCTTGTCAGAAGAATTTCAGTAAGAACTATGAATGTCACAATTCTACTACATATGTTCCCCAACTTGGAAACATAACACAAAACATCACTGGTCATTGTATTTTTAACTGTTAATGGATGCAAAGAAAATTCTGTTTTTTTAACAACAAAGTGCTGCAGTTGTAAATGTTTTTCACTTGGAGACAATAACTTGTAGCTAAACTGTTTGTATTACAGTAGGGAGTACACATCATCTGTGCCTGTAGTGTACACGCATGTACAATATCTGTTGAGTGGTAAAACACTATCACTTTAGAAAAACAACTCTCACAAAGTATTTAGAACTAAGAATAAAAACAAAACTATAAAGGATACCTTTCAGGAATTTCAGTTCTTTAAATAAATGTATTATTTTCCTCCAATGCATATAAATTGTCTCATTTATACTCTCCTTAAAATACATCACATTAAATAGAACCTAATATATTCAGCAAACTGTTGAGATGATCTGTGAATCTGTAAAATTGATATGGACAAATTGAAACGCTACAGAGAATTATTTTTTAGTGCACATCTGCTCAATGGATGATAGGATTTCCTTAATATAAAGGATATCAATACAAAAAGTGATGAATGAAAGTGAAAGCTTTATTTCGGTGTCCACAAGAGAAAGATAAGACATGAAAAATAACTTTAGGGGTTGGTACTAATACATGTTGACTAGCTTTGCTGGTAGTGCATGAGACTCACAATCTCAGGGCAGTGGGTTCGTGTCCCACGTCGGTTCTGTCATAACCCATACTGGGCAGCAGCAGTAAGGGGCGGTGTTGGCAGCGGAGGGTCACATACTGTATCTGTGACAACAGCAACAACACTCGCACTATCTGCGCGGAAGAAAGGCCTGGCAATCTACTTCCATATCCTGCCATGGAAACTCTATGGGTAGTGATGGTGGAACTGTCCATAGGGTTGCCATGAGTCGATACCGACTCAACGGCACTCGACCACCACTAATACATGTTAAAAGGCTGTGGTTTCTTTTGGCTCTAACATAATGCACAGATTCAGTACATTAATACCTTAGGTACTGTATAACACGTCAGTTATAAGCTTTTAACTTGAAAGATTTTGAAGTCTAATGAGACACATACTGTATATTCTCTGAAGACTAAGAGGGATTCTGATTTTCCATCCACTGCTGGAAGCGAGTTAAGCAATCTGAAATTATCTCATGCCCTTTCCTGTGATACACACGGAATAAACGAGAGAGCTTTAGTTTGTGAATGGCAATCCAAGATTCGGTTGTGGACTCATTTTTTAGAAAGGAACTGACACAATACATATGTCACTTTATAACACCGACGTGACATTAAAACAATATTATACAAATATTTAATCCTGCCCACATGTAATACAGTGAAAATGACACGTATTTATTTGTATCGACGGAGGAAGACACTTGTTTAGTCTTTAAGAATTAATCATTACACATTATATTACACAAGCACAGTTTAATAAACATCCATCCATTTTCTAACCACTTTATCCAATACAGAGTCTTGGGGAAGCTGAAGCCCAACTTGGCAGGCAATGGGCGCAAGGCATGGTATACCTGGGAGAGGGTGCCAGTCCATGGCAGGGCAGACAGACACAGACACAAACACACACTCACACCAGGGCCAATTTTTCCCAGAAGCCAATTAACCTACCAGCATCCCTTTGGACTTTAGG